AGTTACTGAACTTGAAGAAATTTTAATCGCATCATATAAACCAATAGTTTAAAAAGAAAAATTTTTCTTAAATAAGATATGATATTAAAACATACATATCAATTAATTCAAATTGAATTAAAGTAATTTTATTATATTTTTTTTTTTTTGTTATAAGAAAAATATTAAAAAAAAAAAAAGAAATTTTAAAAAGAAAGAAAAAGAAATTAAAAGTTTGTTAATTAGAAATAATGTTTATTGATACAACAAATAAACTTGGATTAAAAGAATATTTACCTACATCTAATATTTATCAAATGTTTGAAAATTCTATTCAAACATTAATTGCTACAAATATTAGTAATCAAATAATTAATAATATTGAAGAGTTTAATCAAAAAATTAAAACACCAACACATTTTGAATATTTATTAGAATCATTAGGATTTGCTTTTGCACTTCCAATGGAATCAAGTCAAACTATTGGAAATACAATTAGTATTTATCATCAATGGTTATTTGGAGAACATATTCCTAAAATAATTCAAGATAATCGACAAAAATATTTAAATTGTATGTTAGAACATCTTTCATTAATTTTTACTCAACGTTCATGTTCAATAAATCAAAGTAATCAAATGATTGAATTTTGTAATAGAGTTATGGATATTTATGATTTAGCATTAAATGATAATGATGTTGATACTCATAATGTTATTTGTTTATTAATTGGAGCAATTCATTCACTTGCATCTATACCTAAACAAAGTATTACTACTATTGTTAGTTCAAATGTATCAAGTAATTTTTATAAAGCAAAAGAAAAAAAAAGTAATTTAGCAGAAGAAATTAGTGGTCGTGTTATTAATACATTATATCGTGCATGGATTAAATTATTACCTCAAGATAAATTACTTTGGATGACAATTATTCAATATCATAAAACATGGAGTATTCTTCTTCCAGTTGCACAACAATGGAAAATACTTATGAAAAAAATTACAGAAGGTGTAATGAATCAATTATATAATAATAAAGAATGTATTATTTCATTAGATGGGTTTAAAGAAAATACAACAATACAAAATGTAATTTCACCAAAATATGCATATAATTTTTGGATTTGTTGTTTACATTTTATTGGAACACCACTTATTAGTAATAATGCATCTGTAGTTGAAGTTATTATTCAATCAATATCAGAACAAGTTGATTATATGATTCAATATCAATGTACTGGAGAAACAATATTAAGAGTATATAATATATTATTTCAATGTGTTATTTTACCATCTCATTTAAAATTTGAACAAGGAATTTGTTATGCAATGGAAACATTATTAAAAATTTTTATTAATACTTGTGAATATACAACATTTACTAAACAATCATTAGATAGTTTATATTATGCTTTATCTTATGCTTTATCATCTGAAAGTGAAAAAGTTTTAGTTATTGGATTAAAAGGATATGTTAATCTTATTAAAAAATCATTTGAAGGAATGGAAATTCTTGCTAAAACAGCATTATATGCAGTTCATCGTGCTAGTTTATTAAAAGAAAATATTTTTGCTGATTGTCATACTATTTTTATAGATATACTTGCATCATTAATGTATCTTCCTGATTCTTCACAAATTCATTTCATTCCTAAACAAAATCCTGAATTTGAAGAAAAATATTCTCTTCAATCTCTTATTGTATTAAATTTATATTTACTTCTTAAACATGAAGTAGATGCTACAAGAATAACATCTATATTAATACTTATAAATCGATATTTTATTCAAGAACTTCCATTCAATAAACCACAAGAAGATTTTAATATATCAATATTAAATCAATTTCCTCCAAAAACTGTTGGTGATTTAGCTTGGTACTTTATTAAATTAATAGAAATTAATCACTCTACATTATTTGTTACTTCTAAACCAGAAATTCATCGTTTAATATTTACTATTCTCAAAATTTTGATTAAATACCATTCATTTATTCCTAGTTCTGATGTATTTATTAATAATTTATTTGATATTCTCAATGAATTCTTCAATCAATGGATTAAAAATATGAATTTAGTTATTATGGGAGATTGTCTTAGTGTAATTACTCTTTATTATCAAAGTATTATGAAAAATATTACTCAAGACCAAATGACAAAAATAACTATATTATACAAAAAACTTACATCTGTTGAAGGATATGATAAAAAACGTACTTTAATGAGATTGAGTGATATTCCAAATGAAGGATTAGAATATTTTACAATGTCATTATCTCAATCTATTGCTTTTGTATATCAACATCTTATGATTCATAAACCAATAATTGGAAATCAATTATTAAATTGTCAAATAAGTGAAAAAAATATTATTGATATATTTATGAAAAATAACATTAAAAATGTATTGGATTATATTTATATTGTTACTGTTGATAATACAATAATTTTATCATTTATTGAATTACCTTTTAAAAATATTTTAGGAAAAAAACAATTTATTGTTCTTATACGTGATTGTATTGGAAAGAAAGGATATTTGATTTCATTAAATGAGATTGATGATAAAATTATCCAATCACAACATAAACATATAGATATTATTAATAAACCTGAAAGAGATAATTTAATCATCTTATCTGATGAAAGAGTTTTAGAAGAACTTCAAAAACTTGAGAATGTTTCATCATGTAATATTGATTCTTATATTAAGAAACAAGAAGATAAATATAAAACACCATTAGAGGAAGATATTCCTCAACCAAAATATGATGATATAATGAATATTCAACATGGTACAAAATATTATGCTGTTAGATTATTTTTAACAGCAATGGGATTCTGTAGTTCTAACTTTTGGAAAAGATTAACTCCAATTAAAACAAATTTTCAAATATTAGAAACATTAGATCAAATTGATAAAATATCAAATAGAACTCATATTGGAATTTCTATTGAAAATAAAGAACAAGGAATAACTAAAGAATTTATGGAATTTATTCAAGAACTTGGAATTATTCGTTCAACTACAGGATTTGAAGGACAAAAAGAAGGATATGAAAATAAAGAACATATGATTTGTTATCAAGATGATTTTGTTGATATAATTTATCATATTAAAAGTTTAATCCCTATTAATGAAAAGATAGATGATCTTATTGAGATATATTGGGGAGAAAATGAACAAAAAATTGAAGAAAATCCAGAAAAATTAATAATTGAAATTAAAATACTTCATGATGGAATTTATCAAATTAAAACAAATCAAATAACTAATACATTATTAACTCTTCAAAAATCATTAATTTATTCATTAGGTCATATTATTAGAGAATCATGTATTGGATTTATTGAAAAGAGAAATCTTCATGAAATGACATTCCCTTATGATTCTAGATGTATTACAATTCAAGATTTTTGTACTACTAATACTACTAAAGGACATTCTATTGGAGTGATGGATATGTTAGTTGATCGAGAATTATCAAATCAATTAAATGTAGAAAAACTTTCTGAAGTAAAAACTGAAGAACCAAAAGAAGAAAAGAAACAAACAAAAATTAAAACTTCAAAAGTTAGTATAATTAATGTATTTCAACCTCAATCTACTCCAAGAATGACAGGAGAATTAAAAGCTACTGAAGAATTGATGAAACGTAAATTAGCAAAGACAACAAATGGAAATTTCATTAATACAAGCAAGTAAGTAAGTAACTATTTGAGATAATTGAAAATCTCGGTTTATTAAAAGAAGAAATTATAAAAAAGAGATTTTTTTTTCTTTTGCCGAAAGAATGAATAAATAAGAATTATAAAACGCTAGGAAAAACTTTAACATCAGGATTTTCAAATATTGACATAGAGAGAAGTTGGTCTACAGTCACACGATAACTTGGTTGAGTAATAGTCATAAACAAATACATTTGTTTAAGTTCTTCAAACCGAAACAAATTAAGAAGAATAGGGTCTGTAAAATAAAAATTTTGTTCCTATAGAATAAGATTTAGAATTTAATAAATTTAAAAATAAATTAAAATAAAAAAATAAAAAAAAAGAAAAATAACAAACATAATTTGGAAATTTACGTCTTGTATCCATTTCAAATATTGTTATTCCTAAAGAAAATACATCAGCTAATTGTGATGCTTGTCCTCCAATTACTTCAGGAGCACAATAACTTGGTTCTCCAATATCTTCTAATGAAAGAGATTCACCAATTTTTCTACATGAATTTAAATCACCTAATTTTACTCGACCATCACTTAAAACAAAAATATTTTCAGGTTTAACATCCATATGAGCTAAACCTAAACGATGAAGTTCTCTTAATCCTCTTAAAACTGTTCCTGTGACATATATAATTTCAAAGAATTCCATTGGTCTTTGATGAAGTAAATCCCAAATACTTCCTTTCATTAAATCCATCATTATAAAATACATATTATCTATCTTTTGAGTAGAAATACATTGAATTATATATTCACAATTTTTAGTTGTTTCGATATTTATAAATTCATTTTCATAAACTGCTGTCATATGAGGTTGAATAGAAATTTTTACAACTTTTAATATTCCATCATTAGGATCTCTTACACAATAAACATCCCAAAAACTTCCTCTTCCAATTTGTTTTTTTTGAGGGAATTTAGCTAAAAAATCTTTCATTGTTTGTTTATGCATTGAATAATGTGGATTATAATAAAGCATTGGTTGACTTGGACAATTATTCATAAGTTCTATATAACCAAAAGGTAATCTTTTTAGAGCATTAGGGTCATATGCAAATGGAATATATTTGGGAAGTGTTTTTTGATACTCTTCAAAAGGGGGTAGACAACGTTTCGGAGATTTTATCATTAAATGACAGTATCATAGATGAAGATTCAAAGGGGTCTAATTTCTATTTTTTAAATCCAATATCAGCGAAGGAAAACGGTTTAAAATTGAGAGGAAATCAGTAAGAGTTGCAATTTATAGTTTAAAAATAAAAATATTATTAAAATAAATAGAATTAACGAAAAGAGAAAAAAGAAAGAAGAGTGATGAATATTTATAAAAAGAAAAAAAAAAAAAAAAAAGAAGTTTTAAATCTTAATTAAAAATAAGAAGAAAAAGATAGAATAAGGACTTTGATAGATATACAAAAAGAGAAATTCCATTACAAAAATTTTTTATCTTTTTTATATAAGAAATGTTTTAATTAAATTAGTATATTTAATTAATTATATTAATTTTTTATTTATTTTCATATCTTTTTTTTTTTATGAGAAATACTTTGATAAAATTAACTTATTCTAAATAGAATTTTCATTTTATAATTTTAATAAATAAAAATTGAGTGATTAAGTTATTGGATTTATGTTTTATTTTAAATGTCTCCTTTTTTCTTATGAATTAATGGTTAAATTGACTAATAATTTTTATAATTCTAAATCACTAAATTTTTATTTATATTTTATCATATTTATTATATCAATAAGTTAATCATTAAAAATATAAAAAGATAATATGAATATACTTTTATATCAAAGAAACAATGTATTCATTTCATAAAAAAAAGATTTATTTTATTTTAAATCAATTTATATGAAAAGATATGTTAGATCTTATTTTAATTCAATATTAATAAGAGTATTTTTGTTCTTGAAAGTAATATTTTAAATCTAATTATAAAGAATAAAATTTGTATTGAGTACAATCTTTTATATATTTAATTATTATTATTATTCTTTCATTAAAGGGATAAAATCCAGATGAGGATAAGAAGAGAAAGAAAAATGATATAATGTTATATATGACATAAAGGAATAAATGAAAGAATAAAAAAGAATAAAGTGACAAATATTTATCAATTCAAATAGTTAATCAAAATAAGATATTATAATTCTTTGAATTAGAGAAGAATATAGATTTATTTAAAAGAAAAGAATAAATGAAAGGTAGAAAGGAGAGTGAAAAAGTGAGGGATTATTTTATGAAATACATAAACAGGAATTTTTATTTAGATACAAAGAAAAGGATGTCAAGAACAAAATTCGGAAGTAAAATAAATAAATTCTTTTTGTTGAAAGAATGTTCTGTGAGTGTAATTGGGAAAGTTCTTTTTGTGGGTTTTAAATTATTACAACTTAAAATTCATAAAGAACATCTTGATAGGTTAAATGCAAACAGCATATAAAATTAATAGAAATTACCAAGTTAGTGAACAAGGAATAATGATTGTTCTTTTAAACCAATTTGCTGATATAGAATTAGAAAAAAAGAAAAAGAAAGCAACAAAAGCACTTCCATTTCTCCAAATTCGAAGTATTAATTTTGGAAATGGAGATGTGTTTAATTTTAATCAATTTATTGAATGTCGTTGTAAAGAACTTATTCAAAGTGAAATCCAAAGAGGATTAAAAGAAGAAACAGCATCAAAAAGATATAATTGTTATTTAATTAATGAGTCAATTCATTTATTAATTGACTTACTAAATGAAAATAGAATTCAAACAAGTTCTTCATTCTCAGCTGGTAAAAATGGTAGAATTAAAACAGAAACAATTGATACAATTCGTTATAATAGTTCAATATTAGATAAAAACTTTATTAAAGAAAAAGGAGTTATTATTAATGAATATTTAGCTGAACGTCTTCATAGAGAAGATTCTATTATATTTCATCGCAATTGTTATGAATTACAACATTTATTAATATAATAAACATCAATACAAATGTGTTCTTGTGTATTAATTCGAATTATTATTTTTATTTGTTATTTATATTTTTAATTATGGTTTTTCACAATTAAATTAAATTATCTTTCTACTTTTTTAAACTGTTTGGTGTTTTGTTATTAAAAAAAAAAAAAAAACAAAATAAAAATAAATAAAATATAAAACTATAATATATTTATAATATTGATTTTATTTTTTTTATATGAAATTTTATTAATTATTTAATTTATCTTTATTTCATAGAGTTATTTGTTAATTCTATTCTTTATTATATTAATTATTTCAAAAATATACCAAACTTTGTATTAATTTTATTTAATGTTATTTTTATAACTTTTCCATTATTTTGTATTACAATAACATTTATTTATTGATTTGTTATTTAAAGATGATTTGTTAGAAATAAAACAATATTATTATATTTCTTTTTTATGAATTAAAAAATTACATTCTTTAAAATGCATTGTTTTTTGTTCAAAATATTAACTTTTATACTGTTTATATATACATATTAAAGTATTTCAATATTGATTAAAGAAGACTTATTTCATTCTGACTTTCTATGTGTTTGATAAATGTTTTAAATAACGAGAGTTTTATTTTTAGAATATAGAGTATTCTTTGTTGAGTTTGGTAAAATTACATGAACATTTCAGTTATTATTTACTGTGAAACAAGGTAATAGCACTATGATAGATTCTTTAACAAGTGCTCAAATAAATAGTTAAAATTTCTTGTTTCACATTGTTTTAGTTTTTGTATTGAGATTGTTTATGTGAACATAATAAAGAAATCTTTCAAAAAAGATAAACATGTTTTTGTTTGATTAATTCATTTAGGTTATTTATTATTGTAGAAATAGAATGTGATGGTGTTGTTTCATTTCACTCTATCAAGTAAATAACGTCTTAGATTTTGTAAGAAATAAACGAAGTAGAAAATGAACAATTAAAACATAATTTAAAATTAGTAAATAAGTAGAACAATTATTAATTAAAAAGAAATGAACTTAAATAAAAAAAAAAGAAGAAAGGAAATAACAAATGAAAACAAAAAATTTGAAAGAAGTTATTTTATCTATTAAGAAAAGAACAACAAATGATAAAGATTTAATAACTGTTTCTTCACTATCTGATGAAGTACAAACACTATTAACCAAAAAAATATCTAAAGAAAATCAAATGAGTGAAATTAAAATTGTTTCTCAATTCAAATTTTTATTTGATATTCATGAAATAAAGAATATCACTAATAACATTAACTTTTTATCTAATTGTTTTGATAAAACCATTTTCAGAATTGAATGGTTTGAAAGTTTTCATGAAATTATTCTAAATCCAACAATTGATCATTTAAAACCATTAATTGATGAGTTACTCTCAATCCAATTTAATATTCATCTTAAAGACAATATTGATAGAATTGGTTTTTGTCTTTTTATAACAACTCAAATTGAAAAGATGATTACAACAATTCATAAAATAAAATCATCAACTCAATTACCACGAACATTAAGTGAAATCCTTCAAAAGATGTATGAGGAACATATTGTTCCTTATGGACTTATTCTTCTTTGTATTTTAATAATTGGACCACCTACAGGATTAAATTTAAGAAATTTATTATGGCATGGATTTATGAATGATAATGAAGTAACTGACACACATCTTTGTCTTCTTGTTATACTCTATCAAACAATACAAATGTATTGTTTCAAAATTTCTGAACCAAAACATTTAAACATACTTCAAATTCAATTCTTTGATCAAATCATTGAAATCCCAAATGAAGAATTTCTTTCTCTTATTCATTCTTCTAATTTTATTCTTCCAAATAGAAAACAACCAATTGAAATGATTATTAAAAATAAAACTCAACAAGGAAATAATATTATATTTTCATTTATGAGAATGGTTGTTGAATTAGAACATTTATTAAGAATAGCATTTATTACATTAAATGATGTTGATATTCGATTTGGAATGGCAAATTATTCTAATTATTATACAACAATGGATGTTCTTCTTCAAGAATTTGTTGTTTCTTCTTCTGAAGGTCTTATTGTTAATCGACCATCAACAATCAATGATATTAAAGTAGTAAAATATAAAAATACTTCAAAATATAGTGAAATAAAAGGAATAAAGAAAGAAAAAGAAATAATTTCTAAAAAGAGGAATTTATTAATTAATATTCTTGGAAAAGATATTGTAAGTAAATTACATGATTTATTTCTTTATGAAGGTGGAATCAAATTAAGGGATTGTTTATCACATGGAGAATATCAAGTTGATGATTTACCTTCACAATCTTTTCTAATAATTAAAATGATATGGTTTATTATATTAAAGAGATTACAAGATTGGACTGTTAATTCATCCTCCCAATTTAATCAAAATTTTCAGAAGTATTTTAATGAATATCCAATGTTTCATCCATTATCTTTTTTTAAGAGAAATTATCAAGAAAGTATTAATTATTATGAATCTATTTGGAATTATTTTAAATTATTTAATTATGAAGATAAATTGTATGATGATTATAGAAATTACCATTCTAATTTTATCCTTTCTTTTAATTGTTTAGATGATATAAAATTAATTAATAATTTATTAGCATCAAAACAATTAATTTATCCATTCTTTGGTTCTCCATTATTTTTATCAAATGTTTGTTCATTACATTCATAATATTAGTGTTATCAATAACTTACAATTAGATTAAACATGCATCATTGTTAATAGAATCAATTAATAAAAATTTATTGTTTCTTAAAAATACACACACTAAATTAGTTTCATTTCTTAAAGATGGAATAATTAAAAGAAGACAATCAAATGCATTGTTTAAATTATTAACTTCATATCAAGAGTTATTTCTATTGATTCATTTACTCCAATACATTTCATCAATAATTCTATTTGAAATAAATCAACTTCCATTATCAAAGTTACTTAAAGTAACATTAATATATGCTTCAAAATTATACATATTATTACAAAGATATTCTTTTGAAGATTATGCACCACTCACTAACTCTTATCACAAAAGTTTATTATCCCAATTGACTTCTTTTTAGTTTTGTTTAAATAATAATCAATAAATTGTTTTATAAAACATAAACAGAACACAGGTTTTATTTATAAACAAAAGATAAATAAAAGAACTTTAAAAAACAAAAGATGAAGTGGTCTACAATCATCATTCTTCAGTGTATATGTTCATATGTTAGTTTAGTGTTGACAGGTTTTCAACTGTATTCAATTCATAAAAGTTCATTTTATATTTTTATGGGATTTTTACGACTTCCATTACCACTTTTTGTTTGTTTTAATAGTAAATTATATTTGTTATTTTATATTCTTAAAGAATATTCATTAAAATTAGGTATTATTTAATACATTTTTAACAACTTTTATTGTAGGATTTTTAATTACTGAACATATATTTTATAAAGAAATAACAAATTCTGAAATGAAAACTATGTGTTCTAAAATATTAACTGAAATTTGGACACTCTTAATTTTTGTATTACCTGATTTATCAGATATTTCTATAAACATATTAGTAATTCTTACTCTTTATATCTCAATTAAAATACATAAAATTTTGATTGAAATAAGAATTAATTTATATAATGAAACTCAAAATTATTATTATTCAAAGAGAGTAAGTATGTTTATACTATCATTAATTCTAATTAGTATAGTGACTATGATACTTTTACAATATTCTAAAATGGACTTTGTTTCATTCCATGTTTCATTAATCCTTTATTGTTTTTTCAAAATTCTTTTTCACTCACTTATTTGTGATGCTTTACAACAGATTTTCTGTTTTGTTCATTCTCTTTATGGATTCCAGTGGAAATATTATACCTTAACAAATTTAACAATAAAATCAATTGATGCATCATTGACTAGTTTTACACTCTTTAATCTCTTTAAATCATTGCTTCCAACTGTGTTTATTGGAATATTAGTATTTTCCATTATGCGTTTTTATAAATCAATTAAATCTGTAAATCAATTAATGAAATATATTTCTTATTCCTATTTATTGGATCAATTACCATTAGTACATTATGATTCAGAAGAAGAGCATGAGTGTGTAATTTGTAGGGATACTCTTACTGAAGCAGTGCATCTTAGTTGTGGACATGACTTTCATGTTAGTTGTTTAAAAGAATGGTTGTCAGGAGCATCAGATTGTCCAATATGCAGAAGTCATATTAATCTTAATGAAAATGAAGAAGAAGAACAAGTTGAAATTAATCCAACATGGAATGTACATGAAATATAAAACAATAATTTACAACTAAAAAATAAGGATTATAAGAACAGACTTATTTTATTAATTTTTATAACATCAATAAATTTTAATTATTGTTTTTTTTTTAGAAACTTAGAGTAAAAAAGAAGTATTGATTAAATGAAAGATTTCAATATTGTAATAATATTTTTAAGATAAATTAATTAAAATGAAAGATTAAGATTATAAAAATAAAAAAAAAAGAAAGAACTAATTTTTAATTTTAATTAATTTTTTTTTTAGATTTTAGCTATTTATATTGTTTTGTATTTTGTTTTCATTAAGTTTCTTGTTTTTTTTTTCTTTTCTTTTTAAACACATTGAAGGATAATTTGGTACAAATACCATATTCCATGTGTTAATGTGCATTAATAAATGCAATTAATAAATTATTGATGTTTCTTTTGATTACGTAATAATTCTAATGCTTCTTTTAAAAGTCCAACAGCATATTGTTTATTCGATACAATTTTACAAATAATATTATTAGTTTGAATAAAATTTAATACAATACCAGTAATTTTTGTTTGTTCATCAAAATCATCAGTAATTGATTCAGATAAATTAAATAATGCTTCTCCAATATCATTTTCCATTGGAGGTTTAACTTTTGTCCATACCATAACAAGAAATGAAACTACTTCTTTTAAATTATCTTTTTCAACAGAATCTATCCAACATAAAGGACATTGTTCTAACATTATTTTCATTAATATTTTTCTTTCAATAGAATCAGTTTCTTGATAGAACCAAGTAATTTCATTAAAACAATCAACTATTTTTTTATTAATATCATCATAACTTACTTTAAGAGGTTCTGTTTGAATATCAGCTATTCTTATTAAATCTCTCATTGTTTTTAATTCTGAATGTCGTTTCATATAATTTAATCTTCCTAATGAAACAGAATATCCTATTCTTTCTATTACTGAAGCCCGATTTGTAATTTTTAATTTCTCCATTACACTTTCAACCCATTCAAATACTGGTTCTCTTAATGCTAATATTCCATTCTTTCTTTTCTTAATTTGGTCACAAACATTCCATGCTAATACAGCAACTTCTATCATTTGATAAATTTCATCCATTTCATTAACTAATTCAATAATTCTTTCTTTTTCAATAAATTCATTAAAACATTCATGAACAAATTCTGCTTTCTTTTCATTGAATGTTTCTTGACGAATGAACTCTAAGAGTTCAATAGAAACGTCTTTCTGTGTCATTATACAAAATTGGTTATTTTTAAGTTCTATTCATTTTTTTACAGATCTTTGAAATTTTTATTTTTTTTTTCTTTCTCTTTTAAAACTTTCTTTTTTTTTTTTCTATTTAAAGGATAAATAAATGATATATAATTTTTGAAGAAATCTTATTATTTTTATATCTAAATATTCTCTTTTGTAAATAATAAATAATAAGAATATAAGAAAATAGATAAACAATTTTATATAAATTAAAATTCTGGGATGAAAGGAATTTGTGAAACTGTATGATTACCAATATTTGAAAACAACTTAAAAATTTCTTTAAATGGATTTTTTTCTGTTTGTTGGAATAAATAAAGTGTTCTCATTAATTGAGCAATTGGAAGAATATCTTTTTCATTATATGTTGAATATTTAATAAGTGTTTTATCCCAATAAGGAATAGTATTATTAATTCTTCTCTGAAAGTAAACAGCAGCTGCTGCAATTTGAGATGGAAGATATTGAATCATTGTTTGATCTAATGTAGCAATTAAAATTAAATATTTTCCAAGTGTATGTTCGGTTTCATTTGCTTTTGCTGCTTTATTAAATCTTCTCAAAAAATCAATTGATAACGGACGAACAAATCTGAAATCAATTGTTTTACAAATTATTCTTTCCATCTCTAATAATTGACTTTTTGTATATGCTCCTCTACTAATAATAATGAATGCATCAACATTTGAATATTTAATTTCTTGAAATTTAATACATAAATGAAGACAAGCAACACCAACTAATTGAACTTCAGATCTATATTATTAATTTTTATTTTTTTTATCAATTTATTTGATTTTACTAAAAAATTAATTAATAAAAACTAATTATCTTTTAATTTTTCTAAAAATAAATCATTCCTCATATTAATAGAAGTTAAAATAAAATTAAACAAACTTAGGGATAGTTGTTTTATGAGAAATAAAATCATCAAATGTTGCAACAGTGAGTAAATATGTTTCTATTGTTGTTGCAAATTCATCTTGAGAAACAAGAAATAACCAATCAAGTAAAACACTCCGTGTATTTGCACTAATGTGAAGTTGTTTTTGAAGTAAATCTGGTTCAATTTGTAAATCTTTTTCACTTTTAAATAAAGTATAATATATTTCTTTAATAATTTTTGGTTCATACCTCATTAAGAAATGTTCTTTTTCATATTGATCAATATCTTCTATTTGATCATCATTTTGTGTTTGACTTTCTAAAACAATTTCATTATTATTTTTTATTAGAATTTCTTTTAAATCTTTCTTTTTATTTGAAGTTTGATAAGTTTCAACTTGTTTAGATGTTATTTCTTCATTTGTTAATTGGATTAATTCAAATGCATTACTTGGTTTAATTTCTAATTTAATTAATTCATTTTCAATTGACTCATCACCTTTTTCAACAAATTCTTCTAAATTAGGTAATTTATCTTCTAGAGTATCTACTAAATTATTTTGTTCTTGACTATCTTTAATTTTTTGAAGTGAATGATTAAGATTAATTTTAGCTGTTGGTGGTTGGATAATATGATGTTGTCGAAATCCAATTTGGTTAATTAGTGGTTTAATGGCAATTTCGCTCTTATTTTCAGTATCTCTTGTAACCTTACTTTTGGTGTTTGTGAGATGTTTCATTATTTCACGTAGATTGCAAAGAAATTTAGTTCTCATAAATCCATTTAACCTTTCATTTTACTTGTGATTTTATCATTGTTTCTTTGTGTGTACTTTTTATTTTAATTTTCGTTTTGTTGATACAATAAAAATAGGTATTATGATTGGATTTATTGAAAAAGAGATAAACTATTATTTATAGTATTTTATTATCTTTTTATAATTTACTTTGATTGTGTAAATTATGTTCATCTTATCAAAAAAATTGACTAAAAAGAACATACATACTATAATAAAATATATATTATTATTTAATAAAATTTAGGTAAATTTGGATGTTTCTTTGTTTTTTTTTGTTTTACGTCTTCTTAAAATACCGTTGTCTATATTTCCTTTATCTTCTTCTCTTAACATCTCCTTTCATCCAATTTTAGTTATTTCTTGTTTCTATTAAACTATTAGTACTGTTTTTGTCTCATCTTCATTCAATTGATTAATAGAAGAAATCTGTATTACTATTTGTTTATATCTTCTGTTAATATTTTTTATTTACATTTCATGACCACAATAAATATTTATGATTGGTCAGTAAGTAGTGAGTTTTTCATGTGTTTTGTTATTTTTATGGATGTTAGGAATTTCATTACATTATTTCTTTCTATTTTTTCTAAGTTGATTGTGTTAGATGTGTCATTGGTAAATTATTTACTTTAAATGAACAACATTTTAAAATACTAATTGGATATTAATTTCATGTATTATTATTATTTTTAATGTAAGGAATATATTATTTCATTTAGTTAAATATCTTATTACATCATTATTACATTATTTTATTTCCTTTTTCTAGTTGATTTCAAATATCATAATAAAATCTACTTATTGTATTGGTTGTACAATTGTCAGTAACTCAGTTTTTAATTACTTCCATTGTCTGTATTTCTTGGTCATCTTTGGTGATTGATTTTTAATGATATAGATCGATGGGTTCTGATGCAAATTTTACATAACTGTAAGTATGTTCAGAACTTATACTTGAGGTGTGTTTGTTTGTTAAATTTTGAATGATAAAGACGATTAAGACATGTTTTTGTTAATAAAATTACCTTAATAAATGAATAAGGATTAAAGATATTATTCATCATCATTATTCTTTTACTATAATTCTAGTAATACGACTAATGTATGATAAAATGTCAATAAATAAATATTTCAGCAAATTATCATTAAATAATATAAAGAATTTCATAAATAGAGTTATTATTATATGAGAATCTATTAAAGAATCACTTCATTTTATCTAAACTACCAATTTAGATATTATTTGTTTGGATTTATTTATGTTTGTGTTTAAAGAAAATAATAAAACAAAATGATGTTTTTAAACAAGAATTAATGAATATAATAGAAATTTATTTTATAAAATGAAATATCTAAATTATTTGATATCAAAACAAAGTAATATTGAAATGAATTGATGTATATCAAATCTATTTTAATTGAAATAAAAATATTAACTCTATCATAAACAAAAATTCTTCAGATTAAGAATTAGTTATTATTTGTATTTTTATTCTTCTTATTTTGAAGTCTCATTTAAATTATGAATAGATTTAATATATTATCTGAGATTATGTAATAGTGTTATAGATAATTCTTTTTAATTGTTGTTGTAATATCTAATAAAACTATTTATAAATATAAACTTTACTCTTCTTTGACAGTATATTAATCAAATTATTGGTATTTTTACTTATGTTCATTCTCTATTTTATGTAATTGTATTTATTACAATGAATTTACTTTAATTTATCATTTTTATATTGACAAATTATAACACTAAAATATTATTCTTATTATCATAACTATGTTATTAATATTAATGAAATAATTATTCAAATTAATTTGTATTTATTTAAATATCTGATTCATATATTTAATATTTATTTGGATAAATTCTATTTTATATTTAATTCTTTTTCTTGTATATTATAATTGATAAATAATTAATGCATACATAACTTAATTTGTAGTTATTAAGATATGTTTTATTTACAATGAGAAGGTACTTTTAATTTAATTATCGGTAGTATTCTTAAAGATTGGATAAATTATATATATATTCTCTGTTAAACATCACTCTTTCTTTATCAACTTATAATAAATTCTGTTCACAAATATCAAAATTTTATTTTAATTATATACATCATTATTAATGTACACTTATATAACAAAATGGAATAAAAGTAACACATTTAACAATAATAAAATTACATTAAAAGTCTTGAAAATGTTTATTCTCTAACATTTTTATTTAATTTATTTTATAAACAATAAAAGTACAAATGTCTTTTCATCATATTCAATAAGAAAGTAGTTGTATCAATACACAACCACGAACTTTCTTTGATATTAAAAAAATATAAATAAATGAAAATTCAATAAGAAGTGATGATGATTAATAGAAGTACAACTATTCAAAAAAAAAAGATATCAAAATATTATGAAGTTGATTCAAATTAAGTTTTGTTGGATTGTTAGAATCAAGAAATATAAATAATAAATAATAAATAATAAATAAAGGTAAATGAAGAAATAAAAAGAGGTTAATTTATTTTGTAAAATATCTATTTCTCAACTATTTCAATAAAATGATTTGTTGAAGTAACATAATTTATTGTATAGATAGTAGTTAAAAGAGTCATTTAGTTATTAATTATTCGAAAAATATTGTTTTTTTCATCATCAATTTTTCTTAATATTAGAAGGATGATAATTATTTAGAAATAGATTAAAATGTTATAAATATAATACCTATAAATCGTATTTTTAATAATTTATGGCTTTTAATTCCATTTTGTATTCTTTTTCTTGAATCATCCAGTTAATGTACCTAAATTATATTTTAAACAAATTAAATGGAAATGAAGAAGAATGAATAACCTAATCTAGTTTAGTATCGAAAAATACGTATATTTTTAGAAAAAGAATTTAATAATCTTAGGAGAAGTTAGTTCAGTTTATAATGACCATTTGAACAAAACCAATGATGAGAAGAACATAAATTTCAAATGGACTCATGAAAACAATGTAACAAACATTGCCACTAAATAATAAATGTGAAATATTTTTAAAACAACCAAAAAACAAAACATTATAAGTTGTATTGATTGGAGTTTTCAACTATTTAAATTATTAACTAAGAAAAAACAAATGTGTTGAATATGGAAATATGTGCATTTAGTCTGAGAAGTTCAAATTCTCCTGAACTAAACAAGAAAAATAAAAAAGTTGTTAAAATGTGGACAAAACAAGAAGATAAATTATTACTTGAAGGAATTGCAAAATATGGAAGTAAGAATAGTTGGGATAAAATAGCTATTATGATTCCTGGAAGAAATAGAAAACAATGTAGAGAACATTTTCTTAATAAATTTAATAATATAAAACATAGACCATGGACTATTGAAGAAGATAATGAAATATTAATAAGAAGAAAAGAATTTGGAAATAGATGGACTCAAATTGCAACATTTCTTGATGGTAGATCTCCAAATGATGTAAAAAATCGTTTTTTTGGGAGACTAAAATATCAAATAACTAAAGAATTAAAACAAAATCCTCTTAGTGTTTTTAAGCCATTAGATCATTCACTATTCTGTGTAATATAAATGAATTGTGTTTGTGTTTTTTAAACTATTAATTCTATTTTTTTTTTAATTTATAACACATGAATATTTAATATAAAACAATGAAAAGTACTAACAGAAAAGAATTAAAGAATTGAATAAATTCAATTTTATGAGAAAAAGTTGAATCAAAAACTTAATTCTTGAAGTTATGAAATAAAAATTCTTAAAATTAAAGTATAATTAAATATCAAATATGAAAAATTTTAAAAGAAAAACTTAAAAAAGAAGAAAGAAAGAAGAAAGAAGAAAAATGTGGAAGTTAAAAAAAAAAAAGAAAGTTTTAAAGAACTGAAAGAATTGTAAATTAACTTTATGAAAACTAATCTTATTCTCTTTTTTTTATTTGTAAGTAGTTATGCTCAATTCAAAGTTTATATATTTAATGTTGGACAAGCTGATTCTCAATTAATTGTATATCCATCAGGGTATTCTATACTTGTTGATCTTGGAGAAGAAAGAAATGATCCAAATCCAACAAATGCTATTCGACTAGAAAAAAAAATTGAAGAAATTCTTGGAAAAAAATATATTGATGTAGTTGTTTTAACACATATTCATTTAGATCATTTTGGATATTATGGAATATCTGGATTATGGCATTTATTTGAAGTTGGTAATTTTACTGCTGGGAAATTTATTGAAAGAAATGTTGGAAATTATACTGGAGAAAATAGAAAGAAATGTAATAATGAAACATATGAATTTTATGCAGCAGGAGAATTTGAAAAATATTCTATTGAATGGGTATGTTATGCAGATAGTATTAAAGATCAAACTAAAGTATCTAAGATTAGAGAAATTGCTAATATTTGTTCTATTACTCAAATTAATCCACCAGATAATGATAGTGAAGTTGAAATTTTTACTAGTAATGGATATGGTGCAGTAAGATGGGATGGATCTCCTGTTGAATCAAATTATTATAACCAACCAATGATGCCAAGTGAAAATGATTATTCTATTGGATTAAGAATTAAATATGGTAATTTTATATATGCAACAAGTGGTGATTTAGATGGTGGATATTATTATAGTTATGGAACAACAATTAATAATATTGAAGTTGAAGTAAAAGATATTGTTGGTTCTGTAGATGTTCTTCGTGCAAATCATCATGGAAGTAAACATTCAAATAGTTGGGATTATCTTTCTATTACTCAACCAGTTGTTTCTATTATATCTTGTGGATTTAATAATACATATGGACATCCACATCCTAATGCTGCTTATAGACTTACTCAAATGTCACAAAAAGTTTTTACAACAAATATTTGTAATTCAAAAGTTTCATTTAATAATTATTATGAAATGGTAGATGATATTATTATTACTGTTAATTCTACAAATGCAACTCAATTTAGTATTAGTAATTCTGATAATTCTTATTATGAATTATTTAATATCAAAACAAGAAAACAACAAAGAAAAATTTGTATTCCTCCTTCAAATGAATTTGATGATTCTTCTTCAATACTCTTTACATTGTTGATTATTCTTTTAATCTTCTTTATTTAATACTTATCAATTATTAGTTTTAAATAATTTAAATTTATTTGATTTTTTTTTTTTTATTCTTTTTTTTTTTTTAAATAAAAACTTAAAAATAATATAAAAATTAAAAACACTAGAAATTATAATTTAATGTTCATTTTATTCATTACTTTCTTATTCATAATTTCCTCTTTTGGATTCAATGATTTAGATTTAATGGAAATGGTTGATGATTATGAAGATTTATTTGATGATGATTTTGATGATTATGAAGATTTATTTGATGATGATTTTGATGAGATTAATGATTTTGATAACTTTGCTTTTGATTTAGAAGATGACCAATATGATTATAATGCAGCAAAACAAACACTAACTGATCTTGGACGTTCTATTGCTAAAGAGAAAATTAACCAATTATCAAGTTATCTTCGTTCTAGTGCTAAGAATAGTATCAACGTCGTTCCTCTAAATAAATTAATTAACAGAAGATACAAAGTACCTTTCCAAAATAATCCATTTAATCTTTAACTAAAATGATACTTGTTTGTTCAATCATTCTTCTTACTCTTTATGTAATAATTATCTCATTTTAATTGTCATAACAATGAAATCATTGAATGTATCAAAATAATTTGTCTAATTAAATTAATCATAATGATATTTCTTTAGAATTAATCATTTTTACTTTCTTTTAGTTAGTAAATGATTTATTTTAGATAAAATCCTTCTTTCTCAAATTCAAATCAATAATTCTTCAATAAATAAAAATTCTATTTCAAACATTGTTATATATTTCAAAATTGAAATTTAATACAAAAACCCTGAAAACTTTTCTAATTTCTTGAAGAATTAAACTCTATCAATGCAAGACCATACTACACTTTTATTATACTTTGACACTATTCGAGTGAGTAATAGATTATCAGCAGAGTTGTATCTTTGTCGTGTTAATCGTGAAATTGAAAATAGAATATTGACAGAGTATTTTCATATTTCACAATCTCATCTTCAAGAATTAAAGAAAGCCTCAATGAATCAGAACAATGTAATAACATATTTAGATGAACTTGAGAATGATGAACTATTCCAATATTGTATGCTCATCAAAGGAACACAACTCAAAAACATTCTAATTGAAAAGAAAAAAGGGTTGTTTGAAGGCAAAGAATCTATTATTGATGAAGCACTTAAACAGGTTGAAGTTAATGAAATTAAAAAGTCTATTGATTTGAATCTAGTTTTACAACTTGTTCATTCTTTAAGAAATAATACTAATCAGACTTCTCATTGTGAAGAACAGACAGATTCAATCATCTCAAAAGATATCAAAAAGGCAATTATGAGATTAACTGGCACTCAGTATTGTGAGGAGATTAAAGATTTTAATTGTTTTAATGATAAAGAAGCATTCTTAACCGAATTAGTTAAAAGAAATAATATTTGTATTTTATGGAAAGAAGAAACTGGTGAAGTCTTTGGTGTTTATATTCAAGAAGAAATTAGTGCAGAATTACCTCTCGGGTTTGACAATTATGTCTTATGGGTGAAAGGTGAAGATGCTGATTTAAAAGTATTACTTCTAAATCAGAAGTTTGGTGTTGACGCAATGATCAGTTTTGTTGATGATGATAATTGGATCAAGATAACAGGAAAGAATGGTCTTGACATGGTGTTTTGTTCTAACGGCACAAATGAATGCTCACTATCTAACGTCCAAACTTCATTTTATATTGATGAAAACCACCCAATCTGTTCTCGTTCTTCATTTAAAATATCTAATCTTTATCTTCTTCATCTTCACCACTAATTTATTATTTTTGTTTTATTCTTTACTGTTCTTAATCTGTAAAACTGATAATCCAATTTCTGTTTTTTAATTAACTCAAAAAATCTCTTGTATGTTCTAGTCAGAGGTAACTTAAGAGGAATGACTCACTAAAAGGGAACAGACATTATTTTTGATATTTGTATAAAGAATAAAGATAATTCTTGTGTACTGTATCGTTTTATTAAGATCACTTATCTTCTAATCAACTCATCTTTTGTATTAAATAAGCCATGAAACTAAAATGAAATATAACTAAGGATAACTCAGAACACTTTGAAACATAATAAAAATAAATAAAGAGTTACATAAAATAATGACAATGAATCTTTAAATAAAATTTCTTTGAATACAATTTATTTTTGTGTAGAGAAATAGTTGTTGTATGCCACAGATGTCAAGATTTTGTTATTAATCAAGTTAATCACACAGGCAGAAAACAAATGTAATTTATAAAAAAGAATGATTTATCCTTTTCATCAAATTTCAATGAGTAACTTACAAATGAATCGAAACAAAACTGTTCTAACTAAGAAAATAAATAGTTACTTGCAAGGTACTTTGATAAACAAAAGTTGCATTATAAATTAGATTAAGACAATAACAAAGAAATGTTTTAACTCAGTATTAATAAAATATAAAATGGATTAATAAAATTAAAGAACAATGACTTTATGAAAAGAAAAACAGATAAATAACTGATAAAAGAAATAAAATGAAAAGATTACTTATAAGTTTGGATAAAACATAATTATTAGGATAAAAAATTAATGAAATTATACTGATGAATTTTAAAGAAGAAAAAAACATTGAAACATATAAAAATTATTGTATCTGATAATAATAATTTAATTCAGTGTTTGGTTATTAAATACACATATAGTATTATTAAATTATTTAGAATTATTACTTTTGTTGTTATCAATTATTTTATTTAAAGTTCTTATTATACCAAATTTAAAATTATTTTTCTCTATTAGTATTTGATATTGTTTTATTAATAATGACTCTATTAAATGATATATTTCATAAGTTATCTATGTTCTAATATTTGTTCTATTTTTAAATTATTTAATATTTTTACTAATTTTTTAATAAAATAATAATCATCTAATAATAGAATGATAAAAAGAAATAATAATTCATCAAAACAATTAATTTAGTAGTCTAAATTGATTAACAGAATAAAATACTAATTAATAATTTAATCAATTAATGAACTAATTCACAGTTCCAAATTGTTGCATAGCAAGTGTATAATAAAATCCTTTTAAATCTATTAATTCTTGATGTGTTCCTCTTTCTGCAATTCTTCCTCTCATAATAACACATATTTGATCTGCATTTTGAATAGTTGATAATCTATGTGCAATAACAATTGTTGTTCTTCCTTTTGCTGCTTTGTCAAGTGCATCTTGTACTATTTTTTCACTTTCTGAATCAAGTGCTGATGTAGCTTCATCAAGTAATAATACTTTTGGATTTCTAATTAATGCACGTGCAATAGCAATTCTTTGTTTTTGTCCTCCTGAAATTTGTGCACCTCTATCACCTACCATTGTATTATATCCTTCTGGCATTGCTGAAATGAAATCATGTGCATTTGCCATTTTAGCAGCAGCATAAATTTGTTCATTGGTAACTTCAACACCTTTAGGAATACCTCTTCTAATATTATCCATAACACTCTCAGCAAATAATACTGGTTCTTGTCCTACCATTCCAATTTGACTTCTTAAGAAATGGATATTTAAATCCTTTATATTATGTCCATCTAATAATACATCTCCATGTGTTGGATCATAAAATCTTTCAATCAATTGAACTGATGTTGATTTACCACATCCTGATGCCCCAACTAATGCAACAGTCTTTCCTTGTTCTACTTTGAATGAAATACCTTTTAAGACAGAATTATCTGGTCTTGTTGGATATCTGAAACAAATATCTTTAAATTCAATTTCTCCTTTAATATCATTAAATGTTTCACCTTCTTCACTATAACAATCAATACTTGGTTTTCTATCAATAACATCATATGTATTCTTTGCTGCTCTAACAGCTTTTCCAATATCTGGGACAATATTTCCTAAATTACCAACTGCTTGTGCTGCAAAAATAACTGCCATAATAGCTTTTTGCATTTCTTCAAACTTATCACTGAATTGTACCATAAAATCAGGTACTGGAAGATCATATTCACTCTTCTTTTTAATTAAATATGTTCCAATATAAAATCCATATGGATTCATAACTTGAGTCAATAATGTAGTCAAACAATTGAAAATTGATAACAATGGTGCCCATTTATAAATTCCTCTTCTTGGTTCTCTTAATGCTTCCTTAAATACTTCAAGGAAATGTTCTTCTCGAGTTAATGATTGAACTGTTCTTACTGATTCAACTGCTTCAACAAGAGTAACTCCTGATCTTTCATATGCTGCTTGTGCTGGACAAGCTTCTAATGAATTTAATTTTCCATTAATAAATACAACAACAATTAATACTGGAGATACAGCCATAACACATAATGAAACTCTCCAATCATAATAGAATGCAATACCTAAAGCAAATCCAATTGTAGAAATAATATGAATAACATTTCCAACACGTTCTCCTGAAATTCCTTGTAATGTTGTTGGATCAGATGCAAGTCTTGTTGTTAATGATCCTACCATATTTTCTTTTCTATCAAACCATGAGATATTTTGATGCATTATTGAATGATACATATCTTTTCTAACACGACCAATCATCTTAAATCCTGCTGATAAGAATAATCCAATATACATAAAGTATGATATAAATGATGCAACACCTATAACAACAACAATTATACAAATATTTTTAATAGTATCCTTTTGGTCATCAGTAAGAGTATCTGAATTAATTGATAATAAACACATAATTAAGTCAACAATTTTTAATGTAAAGAATGGGAAAATAGCACCACCTCCAATTCCTCCAATAAATCCAAGTATTGATAAGAACCATTCATGTCTGAAATTATCAAGAATAACTCTTAATAATACAAATCTATTTGAATGTTTCAATTTCTTCATTTCATTATTATATTCATCTTCTAATTTTTGTACAACATCTGGATCTTCATTTGTATCTGCATTCTTATGTTGATTAATTTCTTCTGCTTCTTTATTTTCTTGTTCTCTAATTTTCTTTAAATCATTTTCAACTGTTTCTTGATCAACTTCTTCTTCCATACTTTGTCTTTTAACTAATCCATAATATGTTCCTTTTAATTCCATTAATTCTTGATGTGTTCCTTGTTCTATAATTTCTCCTTGATGGAATACACAAATTCTACTAGCATTTCTAACAGTTGTTAATCTATGTGCTACAACAATTGTTGTTCTTCCTTCACTAGCTTTTTCAAGTGCTTGTTGTACAATTTTTTCACTTTGAGTGTCAAGTGCTGATGTAGCTTCATCAAGTAATAAGATTTTAGGTTTTCTAATTAATGCACGTGCAATAGCAATTCTTTGTTTTTGTCCTCCTGATAATGCAGCACCTTTTTCTCCTACCATTGTATCATATCCTTCTGGAAGATGAGAAATGAAATCATGTGCATTTGCCATTTTAGCACATTCAATCATTTCTTCTTCAGTTGGTGTTTCTCCATCTCTTGCTCCAAGCATAATATTTTCTCTGATAGTACATGCAAACAAAATAGGTTCTTGTCCAACTAATCCTATTTGATTTCTTAACCATTTAATATTTAAATCTCTTAAATCTTTTCCATCTAATTTAACTGATCCACCAACTGGGTCATAGTTTCTTTGGACTAATTGAATAGTAGTTGATTTACCACATCCTGATGCTCCAACTAATGCAACTGTTTGTCCTTTTTTAATTTCAAGATCAAGTCCACCAAGAATTTGTTTAGTTGGTCTTGTTGGATATCTAAATTGAACATCTTCTAATGTAATATTTCCATTACACTCACTTGGACATTCACCAGCTGTAGATCTACAATCAATATCTGGAATTCTATCAATTGTTTGATAAATTCTATATGCAGAAGCTTTAGCTGTAGCAAATATATTTAATGGAATAGCAATGATAGAAAGTCCTTGAGTTGCAATTAATACACAAATAAAGACAATCATGACATCACCAGCAGTAACACTTTTCTTTCCTCCTTTTCCTCTTAATACAACTGAAGCATACCAACTTCCTAATGAAAAAGCACCCATAATAAAGAACATAACTGCTCCAAGTCCTAATCCAACAGTGAGACCTTTTAGAACACTATAACGATCAACAACTCTAATTTTTTGATTAAAGATTTCACAAAATTCATGTTCTTGACCAAGTGATTGAACAGTTCTCATATTACCAATTGTAGCTTCAGCAATAGCACCAGCACTAGCAAGATATTCTTCTCCTAATACAGTGAATTTTGTAGCAAATACAGCTAATAATGTCATAGATAAAACAATAAATGGAGACATTGACATAATAACTAATGTAAGATCCCAATCCTTTGCAAATCCAATTGCATATCCAGCAATGAATGAAGTGGTTGTTTGGAAAATAATACCAAATTTTTGAGACATTCCATCTTGAATTTGTTGGACATCAGAAGCAATTCTAGAAGTTAATTCACCAGATTCATGGAAATCATACCAACCAGCATCTTGTCTTAATAACGCTCTGAAATATAACATTCTAATTTTAATCCCTTGTCGTTCTGACATAACAAAGAAACAAAAAGTCATTAAGAAAGAACCAACACCACTTCCAATAGCAAAACAGACCATCTTTAATACAAGATCATTAATAGTATCTGCAACAGTTTCAGTGACTTGGTGATTAAATGGAAGATAATAATTCGGATCATACATTGCATCTGGACTTGGGAAGGCTTTCATAAGATCATTTGTATTAAAAGTATCAACCATATCTCCCATAACTAACATTTGACATGGAGTTAATACACCACATCCAATAGAACCAAAAATACCAACAGCAAGAAGAATTAAATCAAGCCAATTAGCATACCTATATAATTGCCTAACAGTAACACTTCCTGAATCTTCTGGTTTTTTATTTTTTCTTGCTAACTCATCTGGGTCAGGTGTAACATCAAATATAGCAAATGCGTCAGTAACAGTGTTTGTTGTTACGCTCATTTCTTCTGAATAAATTATTAGTATTTTTTGATGAAAGAAATATCCAAAAACTCGGTTAGGTAAATTTAGGTAAATGAAAAAGTAGCTTTACTGTGACTTTCGTTTATTTGTTTTGCGTGAAATTTGACCCAGTTCGTCTCCTTCTCCAAAAATAGTCAAAACATTGTTCTTTTCTTATAAGTATTTTTTGAAAGAGTGATTGTTAATGAAGCAATATTACCACTCTTCCACTTTTCTTTCTTTCCACGTGAACATGACTCATATCTTCTTTGAAAAAAGGTTTTTTTATTATAATTTTATCATAAAATGCTAATTTATTCAATAGTTATTTTATGAGGATAGAAAAGAATCGAACTAGCTAAACAAGTAATTCCCTTCAAAATCTAAAAGAAGAATTATAATTATTCACTTTTTTGTTTCATTCTCTTTTTAATTTTACTTTTTTTCGTTTATTAATAATCTCTTATATTTGAAAGAAATGTATTTGTTATACATACATTTCTACAATAAAAAATAATAAAATTAAAAAACCAAACAAAGAAAAAATTGAAAAATAATTGAAAAGGTAAAAACAAAAAAAATTAAGTGAATGAATTTAAATGAAATATTAAAAAAAAAGTGTAACAATTTACTTAAAAAAAAAAAGATAATTTTCATTAATTTTGATAATCTAATGAAAGTTGTAAAACAATTTTAATGAAAATCTTTTTTATTAATTAATTATCAATTGAATAAGTTAAAGAAAACACCTTTCAAGCAAAAAAAGCACAGACTACTTTGAGTTGAAATGGAATCTTTTTAGTGTTAGAGAAAAAGGTAATTTAAAAAAACTACGGAGAACTTCAATTAACTAATGACTTGTGTTTGTTCTGTGACTACATCATTACCAGTTTTGAATAATGTTAAATTCAGAGCACTTGAAAAAGAAGATTATAAAAGAGGGATTTCAAATGTTCTCAATGAGTTGACAAATTGTGAAATAACTGAGGAAAGATTTAATGTAGTTTTTGATGAAATGGTTCGTTCTTTTTTGTTTGAATTAATATTTAAAATTAAAAAGAAAAATATGTTTAATATAAAATTAATTGATAAAGCAAAAAAGTGGGAGATATAATGTTATTGTTGGTGAAGATAATGATGGTAAAATTGTCGTTACTGGAACTTTACTTATTGAAAGAAAGTTTATTCATTGTGGTGGTTTGGTTGGACATATTGAAGATATTGTAGTAACCAGTTCAAGAAGAAGAGAAGGATTAGGTAAAGCACTTATTCAAAAACTCATTCAAATTGGAAAAGAAAAAGGGTGTTATAAAATAGTTTTAGATTGTCATGACTGTGTTAAACAATTTTATGAAAAATGTGGAATTCATTATAAAGACAATTGTATGGCTATTTATTTTAATAAATAGTTATTTATTTGTACATTATTTTATTTGTTTTTGAAATAAAATTCACAATAAATTAATTAAAATGTAAATAAGTAAATTGTTTCAAACTAATGTATTAATTTTTTTATTAACACTCTTTGATAATTAACAATTCATTTATACCATTCTTTCTTTTCTTAAAATATCGTAATTTTTGTTAACTACAACTTATCCAATAAATAATCAGAATTTACTCTCTTTCCAAAACTTTTTTAAGTTGGAATATTTATTTATTACCTAACATTAATTATTTTTGAGGTATTCTTTTTTTTTAATTATAACACATTCACAGTTCTAAAATAAATGAGAATAACTAATTTTATTGATTTATACCAAATGTACTGAAAAAAAAAACTGAAAATTAAATTAGGTGGAGATAAAAGTTAATTAAAATAATCATATTTTAACATAATTCATCAACATTAATTAGTATTTTCTTTCAACATGGCAATATTAATTTAATTTCTATCATAAAATATTAATCCTTTTTATTACTCTCTTATTTTGATTTTACTATTATGATATTTACATATTTTCCAATTTAATAAATATATTATCTATTAGAACTAATAAATAAATATTTATTAATAAAAACCTCATTCTCTATTGATTGCCATTACCATTTTGCCTGATAATCAAAAAGAACTAACTTAATTTAATGTACTTTTATTAAATTGAAACTTTTTAGAGAATTAGAGTTTATTGAAAAGAATATGAAAATATTACTAAAAGGATTGTCTTATGACTAAGACAATGTAAATTGTTAAAATAATTGTTAGTTGTATTGTTGAAAGAAAATATGACCTGACCAAAGAATTCAACAAAATAATAGAACAAAGGAATATGATACCAATTTTTTATTTTACAAATTAAAAATTTTTCAAATGAATTCAATTACAAAATTTAATCATTTATTCCCACAAACAGTTTCAGTCCATTCTTTTTTATAATTTAAGTATTGAGAAAACCACCAAGTGTTGAAGTGTTGTGTTTGAATAAACCTCATTAAAAAGTTTTTATTAAGTTCATCATCTTCAGGTAGTTTAAAAATGTTATTTTTTAAATCTTCTATTGTATCACAGTTTAATATAATAATGTTATGAAATAATTTATTGAAGAAACTAACCCAGAATATGTTCATAATTTCAGTTGTAAATTCACATTCATTTCCTTTAATTTTTCCTTTCCAATTATTCATCACAATTTCAATTGCAGCAATTAAACTATTCCTCATTTGTTCTGGTAAAACAGATCTTGATGGGGGAAGTTGTTGGATTTGTTTTTTCTTTTCTCCATTTAATGCAGGAGTGAAAGCGTCAATATTAACAAGTAATCCCGAATTGGATGGATTTCCTTTTAAAGGTTGTGTACCAAATATTCCAGGTACTGGAACATCAAGTAATTCAATATGACTTTGTGGAACCATTGGAAGAAATACTCCTTGCCAACTTAAAGGATGTAATAATGATAATAACCCAAAACAACCAGCTGTAAATAATGTTGGTCGAGTTGAAGTTAATATAACAGAAGTTTCTAATAATATTGATTCAAACAAATCTAAAATAATATTTAATGGTAATGTAGTAAATAATATTGGAATAGAGAAATCACATAATAACATCATATTAGGTAATGGATAAATTGTTGTATAACGTACTTTTAATGAATGAAAAGATTTTTCAATTATCTCTTTCTTAATTTTATTTTTACATAAATTTGTTAAAACAATAGTATAATCTTTATAATTTGTTTGTTTATTTGGTGTTTGAACTATATGAAATTCAAGTTGTGGAGATTTTGAGGTAATAAGAGACCTAATAAGTTCTTCTAAATCTGCTTTTTTAAGTTCATGACTTTCTTCTTTTTTACCTGATAATAATGCAAGTTTCTTTCCAAAATCAAATTCAATAATAATTTTTAGGGCTTTTACTAACCATATTACATGAGGTTGAAGACATAAAAAAATATAAAACCTTCTAACCGCATTAAAAGAACTTACTGTTGATGGTAAGACTGTTGGTCCATTAATCAATGTTGAATGCATACAAACAGGTTCAAGATGTGAAACAATAACAGCAAATTGAGACAAACCACTTCCAGGTAAAATTGTTACAGCTGGATGCATTCTTTCAGTTTCTAAATATTTTTTGACTGAAATTCTTTCAAATGGAGTTGGGCTTTTTAAAAATGTTATTACTTTGTCAGATATTGTTAAATCGTTTGGGTATTTATATAAAACTTCTTGCTCACTTGTAGGAAAAAAATTATTTGAAACTGGTGCCCCAATTATCATAAATGATTTAATAATATCTTCTGATTGTTGTCGTAATGCACGTTCTAATGGTGTCAACACTTCATTCATTTTATTATTTTTTAGTTTTTACTAGAACTTTTTAAAGTTCTTAAAAAAAGATTATTTCTCATTAATTAACGTTTTGTATAACATAAAAATATCTTAGGAATGAATTGAATTGGATTAATGAATTGTTTTAAATTGAGTCTTTTTTCCATTCTAAAGCAATGACTCTCTCAACTTTTACAACAGTACTTCCAGTGAATATAAAATACTCTTTTCCAATAGTGTCATTATAAATACTACTAAATGAAGATGAAATACTTGAATCTTTTTCTCGAATATAAAAGAACCACCTACACGTTAACAAAACATCTTCACCATCAAGTGATTTATACCCATTGAAATTAATTCCAACTGATGGTCCAAAAATACTTTTTTTAACAAATTTTGTTGGTGGTATTGACAATGGGTTTTTTAATGTAAAAATAAAATGTTGTGAATCATCCATTACAAACCCTTCACAACTTAAAGCAGGTAATCTCTTACTATTATAACATCCAAATACATTTCCATCTGTTGTAAATACTAAGATCATAACATGTTTCTTTAAACAAATGTGGTTGTAAATTCTTTCTTTTTTAAACCCATCTAATTTTGAGTTATAAATAACATCATATTTTTGCATTCCAGTCCACTGTTGTAAACTAGGAATAAACGATTTAATTATCCCTTTGTTTAAGTTTTCTTCTTTTGTGATTTCTAAGGAATTTAATTGGTCTTCTAATGTTCGTTTTTCTTCTTCCTCTTTCTTTTTTAACCATTGTTGCTCTTCTATTTTTAATCGTTCTTGTATTTCTAAAGCTTCTTTTGTTTTGCTATCAATATTATTTGATGTTTTTTTATCTGTTCTTACCATAAATGATTCTCTTGGTTCTAATTTATTTGATTTACAACTTTCTCTTTTGATACTTATAGGTTTGGTTACTACTATATTTGAATCTTCAGTTTTATCAGATAAACGTTCTTTTTTACCAATAACAAGACTATTTTTATCTTCTTTAAGTTTTTCTTTGAAATCAGATAAGGATGGTTGCCATAATTTCACAACTTTTCCTGTTTTTTCTTCACCTTTTATTGGACTATTAAATTCACTTCCTTCTTTTATTTCGCAACTGTTTAACATACTTCCAAGACTTTCACCTATACTTATTGATTCATTAAAAATACAACTATTTGAACTTTCATGATTATCACTTCCAAAATCAAATTCACATGACTTTTGTTCTTCTTGATTTTTCTTTTTAAATACATAATCATCTTGGATAACTGGTGTCTGAGGAGATTTTGAACATTCTTTTGGTACTGTTTTCAATGTATTATTTTCTGGTTCAATTTCATCTTCGCTGTCCATTCCATATCCAAGCTCAAATCCAATACCTTCTCCACAATCTTTTTCTTTAAAATCAGAAAGACTAATTTGTTGAAATTTTTTATCTTTTTGTTTACTCTCTTTAATAATTTGATTATCCATAACTATTTCACATGACCCGTCATCACTTTCAGAAGATCCAAAACAAAATTCTTTTGGTTCTGAGTTATTAATTAATGATGAAGATTGATTCAAAGATGAAGTTTCTAAATAAAAATTTTCATCTTGGATTGATTTCTTTTCATTAACAAAGTCTTCAGATAGTCTTTGTTTGTTTTGATCTGAAACAACAGTAGTATTAAAATGAATATTTTCATTGCCATTTTTTTCAATTAAAATAGGTTTTTTATCTAATCTTTTTAAATAATTATCAGAAGACATTTCTTTTATTGTTATTTGTGGTGAATCATTTTTATTTTTCTTTTCAATATCAAAAGGATTAGTTATAGGAATTGGATTTGTTACATCAGTATCCTTCATTTTTTGTGGTTTTGGAAGAATAAAATGTTTACTTTCACCTACACGGTTGGTCATATTTCCAAGTTTATTAATGTGTTATTTTTTCAAGTTCTTTCTAATTTTATTGTGTTTCAATAAAATAATAAATATTCCCAAAAAATTGAAATTATTTGTTTCTCATATAAATATTTCTATAGTAAGTCTCAGCCATTCTATGTGTTGTTGTTGGAATATGTTTAAGAAATTCATCTTTACTTCTACATTTTGTTTCACATAATGGACAGTCATAATCCACTAATGACTCTCCAGGTGTAACAGGTGGAACTTGTGTATAAATTCCCCCTATATTTGCAAAGAAATTTTCATATATTTCTGGAATCCAAGGTTTTGAAATTCCTTGGTCATCAATTAATATACATTTAGAATCTTCAGTAAGAACATACTGCCCATCAATTCGTTTACAACAAGGATGCCCTTTCATACAACAACCAATTCTTGGATCACTCTGTGTCTTTAATAATCCAAAAGTACATGTCATTACACCAATAACATTTTTAGGTAAATTAGAGCCAGGCGGTTTGACATTTTTTAAATAACAAATGACTGATTGACATAAACCACAAACTAGTCTTTTTTCAGGATACCATCCTTTTGCTAATTTCTCTTTATACAAATATTCATCAATTTTTGTTGATGCATCTTGTGCCTCATCGTCTTCACTTAATTCAAGATCTTTTTCTACACTAAGTGGCTTCATTTTGTGGAAAGGGTGATCTGCATAAAGATGAGTAAGTGTTTGGTTTCTTTCAACAAATTTAATTTCATCTTCATTTGGTTGTATTTCCCTACCCTTCATTGGATAATATGTTTTCTCTAATAATTCTTTAAAAATTTGCATTACTTCACAAGGTCTTAAATATTCTCCTCTTTGAATTTCAAAAGAATCAGCAAAATTCTTAATATCATTTCGAATTCGATTAATAGCAATCAAAGTAGTTTCGTCAAGATAGACTTCTACTTTAACACTTCTTCTTGAATGTGCAAATAATATTGAACGAAGTTTAGTATAATTTTTATTATAAAATGGTAATATTGGAGTAGGTGAAAAAATCATAGCTAATATTGGTAAATGTTGTTTACCAATTTTATTTGGAAAGAGTGATACTTTTCTACACATTGTCATTCCTGAATTACTTTCTCCAATTAGTCCTGTCACAATACAATAATTAGGATCTACAGGATAATATTCTTCATGTCCTCCTCCAACTCTTAATTCTTGTTTCATTAATAATGGTGCTAAACAACTTCCTCCTTCTATTCGAGCAATTTGTCGTGTAAAATAATTTACTAATGAAACAGAATATGGGTGATAAGCATAACACCTAACAGTAACATCTTCTTCAATTCCATTAGGTCCTTTAACTTTTTCTTTACAATAAAATGAACATTGAGATAACCATTCTAATGCTATATAAAGATATCTCATTCTTGTTCCCCATGGATAAATCTCTTTCTTTATTTCATCTCTAAATTCATAAAATTCTACTAATCTAAATCTATCAGTTTTCTTTATATATTTAATTACTGAAACATTCCCAAATACTTTAAAAAAATATGTTCCAAGTTGTTCTAAAAATTGTTGATTGGTAATACTATCAGGTACTCCTTTAAATGCAATAGTATACCATGGATTCATTTCTACCTCTCCAACACGTTCATGTGAAGAACATCCTCTATTAACTGCTTCTAATAATTTACCATCTAAACATTCTGTAGTAAAATAATTTGGATAAAATGCAGAATATAATGCAAGATGAATAGCATATTCTCCTTCTTTACTTTTAACATCATATCTATCATATAATTTCTTATCTCGTACATCAATAAAAATTCTTCTTGTAATTTCATTAACAATATTTGTTACTTCTCTTCTATTACTATCGTCAATTAATAAAGAAGTAATAATATCACTATATAATTTATCAATAGCCATTTTTTTTTGAAGTAATTCAGACGTTTCTCTTCTTAGTATTTGATTCATTCCAAATAATGCAGCAATTCTTGCTGTTTCAGTAAACACTCCGAAATATAATCCAAAAAATACTAATTTAGCAAGCCTATAATCTAATGGTAATTTAACTGCAAATCTTCCTAATGGTGCAATAGTAATTGCATTATCAATACGATTTTCTTTTACAACAAATCCTCCAATAATTAAATTATCTATTGACCTTTCAATATTAGAATCTGAAGGTGGTTGAATTCCATAGTCAAGTAATTCTCTTCCTTCTTTCATTTCTAAAATCATTAACATTATCTTTTCTAGAGGTGATCTTTGGATTTCTGGTTCTGAGTATCGACCAAGTTCTCTTGCAAATGCTCTTGGATACATATGATAACATTTACCTGATGAAAGTCTTCCTGCTCTACCAACTCTTTGTGTTTCACTTGCACTAGAAATCCATGTTAATTTAAGTGCTTCAATATTCATTGCAGTATCAAATTGCATTGACTTTTCCATTCCAAAATTAATAACAACTTTAACCCCAGGAACAGTAATTGAACTTTCAGCGATATTTGAAGATAAAATAATTTTATGAGCAGTTGATTCTATAAAGATAGATCTTTGTTCTGTCATTGAAACAGTTGAATGCAATTTAATGAAATTACAAGGAATTTCTCCTCTATAAGAACAACACTCTAACCTACTTTTCATTTCCTCAATCTCAGCCATTCCAGGAAGAAAAACTAAAATACAAATTGGTGAAGTTTCTTTTCTAATAATGTATTGAATAAGATCAATTCCTAATCCAAGTGTTCTTGAATCAAGTTCTGGATATAGTGTAGAGAAAATATTCTCTTTTTGTTGAAATGGATAAATTTGTTCAAAAGTTTTTTTAACTAATTTTAATACATCTTCAATATAAAATTCTTCTACAGGAAATCTTTTACCACCAATATGAAGTAATGGTGGTTTAGATAATCTTGTAATATCAATTCTTTCAAAATCTTTTTGTTCTCTAAAATCACATAATAAATATTGAAGTTGTGTTTGATGTCCTGTTTCTGAAATTAACATAAAATGGTTTTGAATTTTTTCAACATCCATCATTGCTGACATAATAACTAATCTCACTGTTGTTTTTGAAAGAAACTTTCTTAATAACATTAAACAAAATTCTGTATCAAGGTCTCTTTCATGTGCTTCATCAATAATAATATGTGTATACATTCTTCTTCCTTCTCTTCTCATTAACTGTTGAAGTAATACTCCTGGAGTTAAATAAATTATATTAGTATTACTATCTGCTTGTTTTTCCATCCCAATTTGATATCCAACAGCTGTTCCTAATGAACACCCTACTTCTTCTGAAACTCTCTCAGCAAGACTAGTAGCAGCAATTCTTCTCGGTTGGGTACATGCAATTTTAACATGTTCGCCATTTGCTCTAGCATCTTCAAAAATGTATTGTGTAACTTGAGTTGATTTACCACATCCAGTATCTCCTGAAATAATAACAACTTGATTTTGTCTGATTTTTTCAATGATTTCTTGTCGGTGTTGAAAAGCAGGAAGACTCTCTCTCGAAATACGAATCTTTTGTGATACTGGATTACCTCTTCTCATAGACATTCCCTGAATTTTTTCTTGTAATCTCATAATATCATCATTTTGAAATTGGCTATCACTTTCACTTATCCCAGAATATCTATTTCTATCTCTACTTCGTGAACGACTTGATGTAGACGTCCTATTTCTTAAATTCCTATTTTGACTATACCAAGAAGAAGAACTAGAGTCGAAACTCATTTGATGATAATTAAGATGAAATAAAAAAATAACAAAAAAGTCATACTTCTTATCATCTTTGATTTGATAATATAATAGGGTTTTATCTTGTATAATAGTAATTACTTGTTATATTACATTATTTTCATAATAAAAAAAAAGAGAAAAATAAAGTGAGAAAAAGAAGTACAACATTAAGGATTATAGAATTGAGTTAAAGCAGACATTGCTTCTTGAACATATTCAGCTTTAATAGCAAAAAATTCTAATAAATGAATTTTTCCAGTCCTACTTAGAGTTTCTTCAGGACATCTCAAAGATAGTTTTTGACATTGAGATCGAATCATATCACAATCATAACTTAAATCAAATTTATGTTGTTTAGAAGAAAAGCATAACGATAATAATGCAATACAAAATGGGGTGTGTGTAAGTACAACATGTGTACAGCATAAATCATTTGTAAATGCCCAAGCATCTAATTTTAAATTTGTTTCTACTGAAAATCCATTAGTTAATTTATTTAAATATAAATGTGGAGTTTCAATATTTAATTCAAAATTAATACCAACAAGTACTTTACGTTCATACAATAACAATTCATTTTCTTCAATTCGTTTTATCTCTTTGAATTGATCACAACAACATTTTTTTAATTCATCAATTCCTTTTGTTCTACAATCTTCTAATTTCATTGATAAAAAGATTGATGCAGAAATTACATACAATGGATCACAACTATTCAATGAATTATAAAGAAAATAACGCATAAAAATAATTTGAGATAGTGCACTTATTTTACTACTTCTATTATTCATTAGTCATACTTCTATTTATTCTTTTTAATATTTATTAAACAAACAAATTTAATTCTTTACCAATTGCCCTAATCTTCTGGCAATATTCCCTTCTTTTCTTATACTCAACTTGTGGTGATCCGTATTGACGTAAGAGAGTATCAAGTTGAGCTTTAGGGATGATCCACTGCATTTTATTAAACAGCTAATAAATCTAAAAAACTGAAAACATGTAAAATAAAAAACACAAAAATTAACAGAAATAAAAAATTAATGGTATTGAAAAAACTAAAGAAATGTAGTTAATAAGTTAGAAAAATAACCCTTCCAGTTGATCTCAATAAATCAACCCTAAAATATATTGTTGGTTGATTTGCAATGAAAGAATACTATATCACCGCCAGATGTACTGATAAAGCTCACAACCCAAATGAAATCTTCAGATCAAGAGTTTTTGCTCCAAACTATGTCGTTGCTAAATCCAAATTCTGGATGATGTTAAAGAAACAACATAAAGTCAAGAAGATTAATGCAGAACTTCTTCAATGCCAACCAATTTTTGAAAAGAACCCAACTGTTGTCAAGAATTATCAAATCTTTTTGAGATATGTTTCTGCTGGTGGAATTCATAACATCACTAAACAATATAGAGATGTTACTAGAGTTGGTGCTGTTAGACAAATGTACAACGACCTTGCATCACAATACAGAACCAGACAAGACAAAATCCAATTGATTAGTATTACTACTGTTGGAGATAAAGCTATTAAGAATCCAGTTCTCCATCAATTTGTTGGACACCACGTCAAATTCCCAATGGTACATTGCAAACCAGTTATTGCATCAAAGAGATTTAATCTCCCAATTAAAGCCGGTAAACTTACTACTAAATTATGCTAATTGAGTTAAAAATGAAGTGGTTGTTTTTTATTTCTTTTTTTTCTATTATTTTTCTCTTTTTTTAATATTAAATAAATAAATCTTTTCATCTTAAAATATTATAAATAAAAAATGAGTGGTAAAGGTAAAATGATAGAAGTAATCCTTAATGATAGATTAGGAAAAAAGTTTAGAATAAAGGTTCATGAAGACGACACTGTTATGGACTTAAAAATTGTTGCTGGTGCTAAAACTGGTACTCGTCCTGATAAAATTAAGATTCAAAGAGGAAATAATGTTTATCAAGACCATATCTCATTAGAGTCATATGAAGTTGTTGATGGAATGTCATTAGAAATGTATTACCACTAATCAGTTTTTTACTTTTATTATATATTTTTCTTTTTATTATAATCAGATAAAGTTATAAAAGAGTTAAAAAATTATAATCGTGGTTGAAAATAAAACATAATAGTTGAGAAAGAAAAATAAAATTTATTGGAGAATTGGTTTCTTTTCTTCTGCTTCAGCTTGTTTGTCTCTTTCTATTTGTTGAACAATTTCTGCTAGTTTAGTATCATTTAACATTGTTAATTTATAATCACTTGTAAAAACAGCAACATCAATATTATTTTTACTTTCAACAACTTCTAAAAGAGCTCGAACAACAACTACAACTGCTTTGTCTATTTCCATATTATCTTCATACCCTTTTACTAAATATTCATCAACAGTTTTTGAATTTCTTCCAACAACATGAGCTTTCCATTCTGTCCATGTTCCAGCTGGGTCAGTTTGATATAATCTTGGAGTTCCATCAGGATCAAATCCTCCAATAAGAGTAGAAATACCAAATGGACGACTTCCACCTTGTTGAGTATATTTTTGTTGATAATTAGCAACTGCTTTTGTAACATATTCAACAGTTGGAGCATCTTCCATTGACATACGATAATTTTGTGCTTCAAGTCTTGCCTTATTAATTAATACTCGAGCGTCTGCAGTTAATCCAGCAAATGTAGTATAAATGTGTTGATCAATTTGTTGAATTTTTCTTACTGTTCTTGGGTCTTGTAATTTGGCAATTGATTTCTTTTCAACACCAAAAATAATACAATCCTTTCCTTTAACACCAACAGATACTAGTCCTTTACTTACAGCTTCAAGTGCGTATTCAACTTGGAATAAATGACCATTTGGTGAAAATACAGTAATAGCTCTATCGTATGACATTTCTTTTATTGAACTAATTTATTGAAGTTTTTTATTTTTTATTTTTTATTTCTTTTAAATTGATATATAAAACAAAAATTAATTATAAAAAATAAAAACGTTTAAGTTTTACAATAAGAATAACTCAATTTTTTGATGTTTTTATCACTTTTCTAATTAAAACAAATCACAATAAAAATAAAGAAGAAAATGAGTTATGGTTGATAAGAAAGATCAACAGAAGCAGAACACATTGAGGTAGTTCCTTGATATTGTTTAATTGCTGGAGTAGACCATCCACCAAATGAAGAGAAATCAGAGAATGAAGGGTTATGATCATAGTGTGGATACCACAATGGAGTTGAACTAGCGTATGGGTAAATATATGAACTACCAAAGAATGAATTCCAATAGTGTTGAGAGACATAAACACCGTGAACAATACCAATGGCTCTAGCTTGATTCATCATTTCCATGAAAAATTGTTGGTTAGCAGTATAAGATGATGACCAAGTTCCTTCAATATCAAACCAGACAGTAGTGATTTTTAATTGATTAGAAACAACTTTTTGCCAAAAAGAATTGACTTGTCCAGCAGCGTTACCACATGAATAACATGGGAAGAAATAAGCATCTACTCTACTCATTCCACCAGCATGGGCATTAGCACAATTGTTGGCACAGTATGGATCCCAACTTCCAGTTGATCTCCAACATCTTGGAATAGCGAAAGTGTAACCATTGTTTACAAAGCATTGGAAAGATGAAACAGAAGTTAAAGTGGACATATCAACACCACGTATAGCAAAGACAGATGCTATCAATAAAGTAAAAAATAACATTGATTTATTCCTGTTCTTTATTTTTCAGTTTTACAGATATTATTTATTTTTGATTTTTTCAATTTCTAAAATTAACTATTTTATTAATGGTATTTTTTAATTTTCCTTTTTATTTTATGTAAATTTCTATTTAATTTAAATCTTCATTAATGTAGAATATTCATTTCATAATTCTTTTAAATAATTAATTTATTTTTATTAAATAATACTTTTTTATTATTTTTATTATAAGTTTTTATTTCCTTTATTTAATTTCATCTAAATAAAAATTAGAATTTATTTTATTTAATTAAATCATTAAGTAATAATTTTAATTATTTAGTTTATTCAGATTTTGATTTTTCTAAGATTATTCCCCATTTATCACTTATTTAAAATAAAATTGTAATTTATTTATTACTATTGCATTGTATTAAATAGTACGATATGGGTAAATCAGAATGCAGTTAGGTTATAAAGGAACTACAAAAAGAAAGATATTATAGCGAAATGGTTTAATTACTATAAATATTGCAATGAGTATTTTTCTTATTATCTTATATTTTTTCATTTATAAAATAAAAATGAAGTAAATAAAAAGAATTAATTAAATCTTATTTATTTATTTATTTTTTGATTTATTTTTTTGTTTATTTGAAGTTATGTATTATAAATTATTATTAAAATGGTTTTTCATTTAATCTATTTCATGGTTGTGAATTAATTCATTTTGTATTTAAGATGAGATTAGTTTATGAAAATATGAATTATTAATACTTCATAATGATTTACACTTTGAAATGAATATGAAATGAATATTTCATTAATTAAATTAATGATATTCAATCTATTTTATTTTTAAATTAATAAATAATAAATTAATGATTGAATAAGAGATATTTGATAAATATAATAATAAATAATGATATAATGATAAATAAATATTTAAATATTAAAATATCAATATTATGTAAACTTATCAACTATTATTACTCCTTGATTATTATCATATTCGCAATTAATTGAATTGTTAATTATAATGAATAATTTTATTTAACATTTCACAGATATAATTATAATGTGAATATATTCATTTAAAAAATAAATATAAATATAGATAAGATACTGAAAGAGAAATAAATAATCGAATGTTTGACAATGTTTTACACATTTATGATAAATAAAAATATCATTAATATAAATAGAATTTAACATTATGCATTTTAATGATACTAATTTAAATGTATATATTCTATCATATAAACTTGCCTTTATTATTATTTTTTTTTTATCACTTCTATTCTTAAGTTCTATTTCATTATCATTAAACTAATTATGATAAAATATAAATACAAAAATAAATAATAAATATTAATAAACTCATTATAATTAATAATTAGTGTATATCATCTGAATATATTAATAGAATATACAAAATAAGGATACATCATAAATGATACTCAATTTAATTATTATAATGAACGTATCATCTATTTCATATTTGATAATAATTAATTCAATGTTTTATTGATTCAACGTATAATGTAATTGATGATTCATCAATTTAAATATACATAATAGTTGATTCTTCGTTATAATAAATAACTAAATCAAAGAATATTAAATAAACTAAATATAAAAAAAATAATATTCTATTAATAACTGTAATAATATAATTGTAGTTATTTTCAAATTTCATGTTACTTCCATCGAACCTTACTTCCATTATTTTATAATTAAAGAAATTAGATTTAAGTTTCTAGAGAATTATTTAAATAACAATATGAATAAAAAAGTATTCAATTTGTTTTAGACAACTATTCATTTTTTTTATGTTCTAAAACAATAATCACCAGCAAAAGTCATATAACGAACCCAAGGATAAGATTGATATCCAGTTTTTTCAACTACTTTTAGATATCTTACTTGTAACCCACTTACAGTGTAATATGGTATTTCAAAATTAACACGAACAGGTTTCTTTTCTTTATCAGTTTCTTCATCTCTTATTGATGGTAATTCAAATGACGCCCTCATCATGAATTCACGATTACCAGGAAACACCTTAATAAACCATAAAGCACAATCATTTTGTGGTTCATAACTACAAGTTCCAATAGATGATCTAAATTGTGGATTAAAGACATCAGATGGAACAGGAACTCTAATTTGAACATTATTAGCATTAATAGCTTCTCTAAAGAAACTTTTTGCTTTAATTAAGATTTCTATTCTATTTCTCTTCTTTCTATCAATTACTGATTCAACCCAAATTAATTGTCTAATATTTGAAGTTAATCGATAATTCATTAATTCAAACTCTCCATCAGGAGGAACAAATCCAATAATTCTATTACTATCAAATTTACTTAATCTAACACATTGATGGAAACTAACATCATCCATTTCAGCTCTTTTTTGTACTTGATTTCTATTATTTTCCATTCTATCTCCAATATTAATTTTTTCATTTAATCCAAGTCTTAATTCTGGCATTCCAGATAATTTACAATTAATCTTAATTGTTCCTAGAATTTCTGATCTTAACAATGATCCATTCTGTGAAACTAATACATTAACTTTTTCAATTACATCAACAAATACTTCGTTCTTTCTGTATTTAATTCCTGGAGTTCTCCATGAAACTGCACCAGTAACAACTGGAAGTAATGATTGAACTTGTTTCATATTCATACGATGACTTTCTTGAGTGATATAATTTTGAAGAACTTTAGTTTCTGTTATTTGTGGATATCCATAATCAATCATTTCATCTAACAGTTCATAAATAACAACAAAATTATCTCGTATTGTTTCTTCAGTTACAACATCAAAATATGTCTTAAGTACTTCTATTAATTTCGTCAAAAATGATACGACTAACAATGAATTAATGTTTTGATCAGTAAATGCCATAAAATATAGTCCATTGTGTCTTACATACATGTATGTGATATCTTGAATTAATATTACAGGACATAAATTAATCTCTTCTTCTTCTGTTATTTTAGTTACAAATTGATTAACAGCATTCATAGGAATATCTCCTCTGTAATTTCTACTGATAACTGTTCTTCCTTTAGAATCAAGTATGAACAGTGCTGCAATTGACATCTCTAAATACTTTTTAAGTTCTTTCTTATTTTTTTTATTTTTTATTATTATTTTTTTATTAATTAAAATATTTTACTTTCTTTCAATTTTGTTTGATTTTTTTTGTTTTATATCTAACATTTTTGTTGTTCATCAATAATAAATAAGGATGGCCTATAATTAATTTCTTAATTTTATTTTGTGAGTTCAATTGTTTTATCTTATTTAATACCTTTTGTTTATTACAAAGTTAGTTGTTGTTCTCACATTTATATAAAAGTGTGTTTATCGTTAATTTCTTATTTGAATTTAAATATAAAAATAATATTTTTCCTTAGATTATATTAAAATATAATTATAATTTCATTATTTATAAACTCTTGGTGACTAATTATTTTATTCATATATTCCATTCATTATTTCTACAATTTGTTTATTCTTTATTTTAGTTTTATTTTTTATTAAATTTTTTTGTACTTATTTATAATAGAATATAATATACTATATACATATTTGATAGTATTAATAATAAATCTCTATCATAAATATTATGACAATAATATCTTCTTTTACGAAATAACTAATTACTGTATCTAATTTTTTTGCTATAATTTATATTAATAAAATGAAATCAACTGACTCAAATCAATTTTCTTATTCTCTGTTTGATTACTCCAATTTTATTTCATTATTTAGTTAATTGTGAAGGTATATATTTCTTCAAACTTTTCAAATATAAAAATTCAAATTATTCTAAAACCATAATAACCTTCAAAGGTCAATAATTAAATAAAGAAAATATTATTATACTTAATATTTTTGTTTTTATAAAAGAAGACAATAAAATATTTATACACTTATATTTATCACTTATTCTTACATTACTAATTTGTGTAAACTGTTTATTATTGAAAAAAAAATAGATTATCTCCATTTTGCTTAATTCAATAATATAAATTAAACAAAACTTACAAAACCAACACCATTTTGAAAATAAGCATATTTTATTGATAAATAATTAAATTAAAATTTTATGATTTTATAGTAAAGTTTTTGTGTTTTATTTTGAATTAAGTTAATAACTTTAGGAAAACATTAAACGATCATAATCATATATTGAGAAACCATTAACATCAAATTTTGTAATTACCAGAGAATAAATTGAGTAACTTTTGGTTAAAGAAGAATAATTCTAAGTTTAGGTTTCCAGAATTAGAGATTTATGGAAGTAAATAAGGTTACTTTAAATTAAATTAAAAAATATAATTATCTATTAATTATCAACTCAGACAGAGTGAGAAACTGAATTTAATTAGAGAAAAATACTTTTTAAAATATCTAATAGTATTATTTTTAGTAGTTTAAATTTTGTATAGAAAAAAGAGAAATAAATTTTTCTTTTATTCATAATATGTTTTATATTCCAATTCGAAATTATAAGTTTATCACTCTATTTTAATTATAAAAGAGTATAGTTAACAAGAAAAACAACCATCTCGTTAAAAAATATTATATTTATTGATTTTGTTACCCATCTCAAAGAAAAAAAATATAATTTCGTAACATATTAAAGCTATTTTTATTTCTAAAATAACATCTGGATAAATATATTCATTTATACTAAGAAGAACTCTTGATTTATTTAAATGAATTTGTTATTAGTTATTATTTCTTTTGTTTATGTTCGATCAATAAAATATTATTCAATTAATAAATCTTTAAATATATCAGAAATTTATGATTCATAACCATTTGTTCATTGCTTTAATTTAATTTTTATTCATTTTTAAATAATTAAAGGCAATAGTTTAAGGATGAGCTATACTTTATTAAAGTATTCTAAACATGATATTTGTAGTAATGATATCAGTAAAGTTGGTTTAGTTTTGAATGATAAGTTTACTGGTACTAATTATGTCACAAGGTTTAAACATACACAAAACATGTATTCTGTTTTTTTTTCTTTTATTCTTGACTATAAAAATCAAACGATAATATCAAGTACAATACAATTCAATTGAAATATTTTGTGAGATAACTATAACACAAGCCCCACTACTATTATACTACTATGATTTTTAAAGATAATAAAGAAAATACTAATAGAGTAGTTGCTATATTTGTATTATCACCAAGACACTATTGATAGATGAACATAATGATATCTCTAAGAATCGAATATAAGCTAGTTTTTAATGTTCCAGATAATATTAGAAAAGAAATTATTAGTTATTGTAGTAATAAAAATGTATATTTTATTGACTCAAAAAGTATTGCTCATTTAATAAAAATTGATTTTCTTCAGAAAGAATACTTATTAAAAACAAAGATATTTAATAAAGTAGATTGTTATACTAATTTTGATAAAAATAATCATTCTTATTATTTCCTTTATGAATGCTCATCAAATAATATTATACTTATATAGTGATGTATTTATTTGATCTAATATGAATAATTGTAATAATAATAATTCATTTTATAAACACTGAAACTATTTATTCTCAGAAAAATAAGAAAAAATAACACAAAAGTATATTACTATTAATAATTATTCATATATATATATATATATATATATATATATATTTGAGAACACTGAATATAACCAAAATTTATACAAGATCTATTGTATAAAGAAGAAGATGAACATATTGTTATTATAATTTATGTATTATTAATAATATAAAAACACGTGAGTATTCAATTCATTTACAAAATATTCAAATATTCTATCAATTATTTCATTATTTTTATACTGATACAATTTGTACCACTTTGATACCAATTTAATATTTGCAATTTTGAATGAAATATAACTGCTCCAAAAGAAACTTACCACTTATGAGTAAATTATATAGAAAGAAGTAAACTAACATTAACTGTAATTATTGAAGAAAGTTATTTTATTAATGTATTATATATTTAAAATAAATATATGTTTAACAAAAACAAAATAGGAATTCAAATATAACAATAGCCTTGTTATATATACATGTACTAATAATTTATGTGATGATAAAACAATATATTAGTTAATTATTATAATTGGAGCAAAATCACTGTTTAAGAACATCCTATATACACAATAAAAAAGAAAGAGTTTCTAATGCTAGTTATAATTTAATGATAAAATTGTTGAATATTATGAAATTGTAATTCATTGAAACGATAAAGAAAATAATATCAGAGTATGTTACATGAATGAATCAACAATTCATGATCATTGAACTATTTAAAGAGTATACTTTAGTAAAATACAGTGATACTAACTGTACTCAAGAAAGATTAAGTACTCTATTAAATAATCTATATTCAGTTTTTGATGTAGTAGATATCTTATCTTCAATTATTTGATTGTCCCAGTTTAAAAATTAAATACACTGAATTTTTTGATGGTCCATATTAATGTGTTGTAGATCAAATTAGAATAAATAAATATTTATATAAGTCTCTTCAAATAATGGATGAATCTAATGACATCTCTCAATATTAGTGATTAATGGAAAAATTGCTCAGGGGTTACATTACCAAAAAAAAAACAGACTCAATTCAAATTACTGAAGGAAATAAACTTGTTACTATACCTTATTCTATAACTAATGTCAGTGCTAATTTAACTAAGGAGATTGTGGTATAAATGTATTAAACCTATAATATATAAATTTATTTCAACTCCTGGCTCAAAAATATTCAGAACGGTAGTTAATATTTCTTTTTTTAGATGTTTCTAAGTCTACAAAACTTATTGGAACAGCAAATAAACATAAATTAGAATATTGTTTAAATGAAACCAATGAGTGTATCATCTCTATACTAATGTATTGATTCTAAATATTAAGAATATTAAATAATACCATTCAATATATAACTGATTCTTGAAATGAATGTTTAAATGCTGGTTTTGCTGACTCCCAAAGTAAAGCAGTTATAGCAGGTATTCTTACAATTGAAAATGAATATTATAGGATTATTTATATTAATAGTAATGTTGTTATCTCTCTGTTTTATAATAATTATAAATGGATATTTGTGATGACTCAAAATAACTCAATCCCATTTCATCCACAATATGTTTGTTGTGTTATAAGATTTAACTTTACTACATCAACAACAAAGTATTACATTAGTCATTTGAAAAAAATGACTACATGGACTGAAATCAATTACTAGAAATATTCATTATTATACAACTGTTAAACATTCAATTAAAACTAATATTGTCCTTCCAAAATAACTTAATAAAAAAGAATGTATATATAAAGATATAGAAAAAGGATATGTAAGTTATTACAAAAGTATTGAATTCATAGAACTGACATGCAACTAGTCAAAGAAGGTGAAAAAGTGATTTTCTACAAATATGATGCTTCACATATACATAATAATGACTATAACAGTCAGTTGTGATGAACTGACTCCAATTATTGAAGGAAGTCAAACACTTTATTATTTTGAAGAATGTCTTGATAATAGTACTTCTTTTTTTCAGTATTACTTTGGAAATTTGTTTACTCCTTCTTATCTTCTAACTAATATTAATTAATTTTTTAAATCTTCTTTATTTTATCTTATTAATGATAGAACCTTTTGTAAATTTATAATTTACAATTGATAGCACTATGTTTTAAGAGAGTTTTTTTAGTTATGAATACATTACAAATGTTTATACGATTTGTTTAATATAAAATTATTATAAGAATATCCTGGATGTTATAGAATTTATTTAGTATTCTTTTTTAATATCTATAAATAATTTGATAAGTTAAAATAGATTTTATAAACAAACCTTTATTGAAATAAACCTTTTAGTTAAGAGAATATGAATGAAACCAGTGAACAATAAAAGAACTTATATCATTACAAACTTATATAAATACTTTTTCTAGTATCCCCAAAAAAAGCTAATAACTTTTCTTGACAACTTTAAGCAACAAACCATAGGAAAATGATGTAAATTAACTCAATACTTTATTTGTTAATTGGAAATATAAGAATTATTCTAAAACATTTAAAAAATTTAAAGTACTTTTTTTAAACAACTCGATTAATTACTGTTGTCCAAGTGTTTCTTTGATTTGTTTCAATATAGCATCACCACATATTTTGTCAGTGGTTTTAAGGTCAAAACCGATTTTGCCTTGTTTGTTTGTGAGTAAAATAGCGATGTCATCTCCTTTAAGAGTTATGCCATACCAAATCTTATTAGCAGAACCCTTAACTGCAAGGAGTTGAAGACTTTCAAACAATGATACAACGTCAAACTTTGTATCTTCAGGGACAGAATAAGCCATAGAAATCATTTTCTTTGTTTTAATAATTTGGGCAAGTTCTGGTTTAGAAAGTTCAGTACCAATAATGAATGTAGATGCAGGGATTTTAATTGCGATATTTGATGAAGTCTGAGCAGCAGCACATTTAATAGCACCTTTCAAAACAACTGAATTAATCTTTTTTAAGTCAGCAATGATAGTAACAAAGATATAACCTCCGATAGGAATAGGAGTAGTTCTACTAATAGAGTCAATAGTATATAAAGTTGATTGATTGATAAGAACTGCAACAGATGTTTTAAATTCACAGAAATTTTCAATTTCTAATTGAATCATAACTTTAGTTGGATGTTTCTTGTTAGTTTTAAGTAAATACTAACACCAA